ACACTTTACAGTTTCATCCAAATTTATTCTGAGAATTAATTTTTATACGGTAAGCAAAAGATACTATGACTCAAAATGAGGTTTTGATTTTTTTTAAAAACGAAGACCACATATATTACTGATTTGAGAAGATATGTAGGAGAGTGCTGCTACATCGATTAATCTATACCTGTCTTAACCCTAACCCTCAGTCAATGTAGCAGCATTCCCTTGCATGTTATCCCTAAATTAGTCAATGTAGAAGCACTCTCCTACATTTCTCCCGAATTCAGTAATATATCTGGTCTTCGTTTTTTAAAAAATCAAAACCTCATTTTGAGTCATAGTATCTTTCGCTCACCTTTTTATACTACCAGGACATCCCACAATGCCTTGCGAAACGATTACACTTTAAAGTATGTAAATATGAAAAAGTCGACAGCGCTTGATTTAGATCTCCCCAAATAAATTTTGTCCGATCAAATTTGTTTGAACGGCAAAAATTACAAATTAAACATATTAAAACTCAAATAAAGACAGGCCACTAATGACAGTTTTTTGGTAAAGAAGGGGGAGCAATGACTCCTTAGCCACGGTACTAATTCCGGTATATTTTAAAATCTTAACTATAGCTATAATTTCCAGATCTGTGAAATTCTTGTATTCTTCTTTTATATTATGACTTTGCTTACTGCTGGAATTATTTAAACTATTGCATTTAAACATTAGAAAATTCATTATAGATTAATTTTCTATTGTATTCCTTGAAGGAAATAGAAGGAAAAGAGTAGCAACTACCAACTTATCCTTTTTTTTAGTACTTTAACTTGATAGGTAAAGAACATTACGATTATTAATGAAAAAAGAACATGTTTTTAAGAAATAATTTGGATTAGACATTTTATAACAGTTCTTACTCTCTTGATCTATAATCATATTTAAATTAATGAATTTTTAAATTTTGTTTATAATTTATTAACAATTTGAAGCGACAGAACGAAATCCTAAAGAATTTCAAATATAGACTTAATAAAAATCAAAATTCTGTTTAAGCAAAAAAGATATATACATATTTTTTTTCTTTCGACACAAACAGAAGTAGCTGTATTAAAAAATACCTTTTCATGTATTTTATCTCATCCTAAGTTATACATTGTCAAAGTTTAGGATTTTGCTAAAATTTCCGAATTAAGTTTTACTAATTTGCCCAAATAGGGCAAATTAGTAAAACTTAAATCGGAAACCAGCATAGTTATACTACGCTGAGGTACTTTAAGCTGACTAACACAAAAAATGTTATTTATGTGTTACATAAACAGTAATGCTTATAAAAAGTTACAGAAAACTTGATCATCCGGAAATTTATTTAATCCTCTACCTTTCAAATCTTATCATTTCAGCCGATTAGTATGATCAATGATCACCTTTAAATAATTATTTCCAGCGCGGAAGTTAACTAAAAGTTTTAGATTAAAAAAAGATAATAAATTTTATACAAACTAAAATACCAACCTCAAAAGAAGACTAACATCGCTTCAGTAAACTGGTTGATCAAGTGTGTTTTTGTGTTGAACTATTATTTTTTTAATTTTGAAATGAATATTTAATTCATTTTTTAATTAATTCAAGCACCGCAATTGCAATAATAGTTACGAAGTCAATTCCCTCAGGAAAATCATTGATTATATTTGTATCTGAAAATCATTAACAATTGCAAAACCTTAGCAATTCCCTTATGACAATTATATGTAAAACTCTTCTTCGACAATCAATAACGATTGTAAAGTTTTACGATCATCATTGATTGTCAAAGGAGAGTTTTACATGAAATTAGTTTTACAGTAAAACTATTTCTTTAGAGAATTTCGCACTTATTAGAGTTGAATAGTATATACAAGAAATAAAAAATAGTTTAACTTTATAATTAATTGTAATAATTATATATATATATATATATATATATATATATATATATATATATATATATATATATATATATATATATATATATATATATATATATATATATATATATATATATATAACCTAATATTTATACTATATATATATATATATATATATATATATATATATATATATATATGTATATATATATATATATATATATATATATATATATATATATATATATATATATATATATTAGGGGCCCACCGTTATATATATTTCAAGGGGCCCACCGGCATAATGGCCAGTGGGCCGGTGGGCCAGTCCGCCACTGTGTCTAGCTGATATTTTTTACAGTGTCTTCATTAATCGTCTTGAATATTTTCCAAAGTATTACATCGATAAAGAATTTGATAATTGTTAACAGGTGACCTTTACCACTGATGGCTGGACTTTTATGTCAGATAATTGTCATGTCTTCAAGAAAATAGCTTAATTAAGATAATTTTGTGTTCCTGTCCTCTAAAAATATCATTGACATAGTCTTTATGTATTTAATTAAAAAAACTTTTAACATCTCATCGTTAGGTTTTCCTGAAACCAAATTTAAAAAAACAACAACGAAAAATAATCCAAACATTTTCTCCATATAATATAGAGAGAATTTGTTAACTATTTCTTTCTTTTTTATTTTGTAATAGTTTTAATAGAAATTCAACGATCGTTGTTATTTGAGACAAAAAAAATTTTTTTTTGACAGCTGTAGATTAAATTATACTGATCAGTTCTTCAGTCCAAAGATACCTTTGACTTGAGCAGGTTGTATAAAACAATTTTGACAAAACCGCATGGTGTCTATAATCGATCCATTATAGACGTACACATTAAAAAAAAAAAAGGCTACTACTTTAAGGTAGGGTATGTGATACTCTTAGTAAGGTATGGTATACTCTTAGTAAGGTATAATTTTCTACTTTTTAAAATTGAAGTTTTTTTAAAATTTTAAGGTAGAAAGTTATATCTTACTTAGGGTATATCACAAATTCTACCCAAAGGTAGAAACTTTTCCTCTTTTTTTTAGATTGTAGTCGTGATAATCTAAAAATTTTAAAAAGTAAAAACTATATAAAGAAAATGTTAATGTAACTAATAACACTATATAGTCCAAAAATTAAAAAATTAACTTTTAATTATTTTAAATTTATTTATGTGCTGTGATTAAAATGACATAATTTTTTCAGGATGGCTGATTTAGTCCTGAATATTAAAAAAAAAATATAATAAATGCAAATATATACTAAAAACAGTTTTTTGAATGGAGGTCAGAAAGAACAACTTTTTTTGTAAAAATAACATCATCGTAGTTTTTCTGAAACTACGTGACATTGTTGTTAAACTTATAAAAATTCAATATTGAAAGTAATGTCACTTAACATCCAGTAGAATAAATGTCATGCAACATCTAGTGAAAGTAATAAATGTCACGCAACATCAAGTGAAAACAAACATTAAGACATGTTTTAACGAAATCAAAGGTATAGATTCATCTATAGCTAAGCCCCATATAAGGCTTCTTAAAGGGGAAGCCCCTCTGAACAGAAGTATTAAACATTTTAATCAAAATCAAGAATATAAAACATCAATATGGCATAGAGTATAATGTAAATGTAGAGAGCATTGGCATTAAGTATTATGTAATTAAGTATAATGTAAATATAGAGAGAGACCACCGAGTAGGAAGAAAAGAATCAGATAAACCCAGAAACAGGCCTATAATAGTCAAATTCTTAAATTACAAAGACAGAAGCACGATATTGTAAAATTACATCAATCTGAAACTTTGGAACCAAAAAATCTACATAAACGAAGATTTTAGCGAACGGACGATAGAAGTCAGGAAAAAGCTTTTCGCCAAACAAGAGTTACGTTCTAAAGGTAAATTTGCTAAAGTTGTTTATAACAAATTTTATACACGTGATATTTAAATGAACTATTTATATATTCATATGTTATATTATTTATTATTCTTTAATATGGATTCAAATAGTTCTAATAATTTTGAAAAAATATTTAATTTTTTTTAAACAATTGTTTTAAATTTTAACGAAGAGTCTCATCCTGATTTAAACTATTTTAACGAAATTAATACATCAGAATTTGAATGCAAATATGTTTATCTAATGAAGTTAAATATTTTCTAAAATTTGATAACATTAATAGTTATTTGAACGTTGTCCATAATAATATTAGGAGATTAAAAGAGAAATTTGAAAACTTTTGTCATTTGCGAAATGTCATTTGCGAAACCGATAATTCTTTTAATTTAATTTGCGTAACTGAAACGTGGTCACTCAATATAAAAGCGAGCTTGACGTCGCAAGAATTTGTTTAAAAAAAAAAAAATTAATTTCCGCATAAAAAGTATAAAAATTCACTCACTTTAAATTAATAGTATTTTTTTTCTATAAACGCTTTAATCTTCGAATTAAAAAAATATAAAAGAATTATCTTTCTTTGTTAAATAAATATTTCCATGAAACGAAATAAAAATAAACATTGTTAAAATATTTTAAATGATTTTGGAACACTTTTCTGTTTTTTGCGTATTTTACGGAAAACCTGTCTTGGGCCAATCAAGATTTGATATTTAAGCTCATTCATCAAGCTACATGCTTGATGATTGAAATTTTACATACTTATAAACTAATGTCTATTTTATTAGATTTTTGGAGGGCATAGATGAAAATAATAGTTTAAGTTATTTTTTTTGGCATTATTCTTTTTGTTTTTACTTTTTTTATATGAAAAACGTTTAATTTTTGTTATGTCCTCCAAGTTATTGAAATTTCAACCCTTTATACAGATAAAAATCAAAAAAATTACTTTCTGTACTTCTAACTAAAACGTCTTTAACCTTGCCAAATTTTGTTGCTTTATACAACAAAATTTGTAGTTACATGCGTAAAATTTTCGTTTAAATTGACGTAACTTTAAATGCGTTACTTCCCAATTCACTATGTAATTAAATTTATTAAAACAGCTTTTTTAGCGAGACAAATTTTAGTGTATAAATAAAACAAACTTTGGCGGGTTTTTTCTCTCGTGGCTAACCTACAAACATCAGATAAGTTGTTTAATCTTCTGATATCTATTGCATGCTTGTTATTTGTCAATAATTATTATTTGATTTTATTTGTTTGTATTATATTTTTATTGAGAAGTTTATTTATCACTATGCATTCAAGTGAAAGGGAGATATTAATACTATACATTGGATGGGAAAATGGCTGGGAAAACGAATGTAACTTTTCTTTTATTAAGCGATTAATGAACACTGATAAAATCACTAACAACGTGATTTTAATTTTACTTAAAGTCTTTCCATCTAAAACATTGTTTAGTTTTATAAGTTTTATTTTGCCAATTGAATTTAATTTGCCTAATATTGAAGACTTTGAAAAAATATGCATTAAAACCTCCGCTCAGGTTAAAGAATGGAGTATAAGTCTAGCATTAAATGGGTGTAAAAATATGGCATATTATTTTAATAACCTACGCACAGAGCAACTGGTATGTTTTTGTGTTTGATCTGGTATGTATGTGCAGTTTATTTAAAACATTTATTATAGTTTTTTATATGTAACATGTTTTTTAGAAATTAGTCCATGTCCATTCGATTATTATCATTAGAAGTTTATTCTACCTCTGTGGTACCACGCTCTACCTCAATTCTTGTTAACAAATGGAATGGAATTCTCATATATATATCAAATTGGTGTAAAAATATAATTTAAGAACTACAAGTTATTGTCACAGTTTTGAGTAAAGCAACTGTTCTTCTGGTTTAAAATGAAGTATGAATCTAGTATCAACTGTGTGTACAAAGATTTACTACTTAAAGAACTTATCAATGGACCAACTGATTATAGAATAGTTTTTTATGAGAATAAAAAAAATTTCAAATTGCTATTTGCATATTTAAACACGTAAAAAAAAAAAATTAAAGTTGGCGTCTTTATTTATTAACATTCTCATATTAGAACTGTGTGCACATAAAAAAAAGTTTTTTAAAACATTTAACTATTTTAACTATTGAAATTATAAACAAAAAATCAAAAAACCTGCTAATAAGTTGTTGTTATAGGCCTCCTACTGGAAGAACTTACAATTTTCTATTGTAAACAATTGCTGAACCTCAGCAATTGTTTACAATAGAAAATTATAGAAAAAACTAATCTCGAAAATAAAAAAAACTATTTGATTGGCGATTTTAATTTAGATTATTTTGATTATTACGAAAATCAAATTACTAGAAAATTTTACAACAATTCATTTGAAACAGGAACAATACCAATAATAAATCGACCAACAAGAATTACAAATTATTCATCCACTTTAATTGACAATATCTTAACCAAGGCCGGCAAGATAGATGTGTGGGGGAAGGGTGGATGACACCCCCTCCCCCATCAATGATTTTTTTAGTCGGCAAACTGGACCCTTAGTCGGCAAATCGGACCCTTTTAGACTAGTTAGTTGGCAAATGTCGACCCTTTCGGTATAGGTTAGACAGTCGGCAAATGTCGTAATGGCAGTCGGCAAATTTTGGAAAACGAGGACCTTTTATTTTATTTTTTTTCAGTCAGAAAAAGTTGTAATGGCACCCCCCCCCCCCCCACCTGACACCTACTCGATCTTAACCATTGACTTTTTTAATACATCGCTTAAAAATGGAATAATTAAAACAGATGTATCTGATCATTTTCCTATATTTTTTTCAATAAATCTAGAAATTAAAAAAGAAATGCAAAAAAGTGTCACCATAAAAAAGAGGCTGTTCAACAACATTAATTTAAACTCCCTCAAAGAACATTTGTTGCTAATAAATTGGGAACATTTAAACTTTGATAATAGTTTAAACACAATTTACAGCACTTTTTTAAAAACATTTTATAAAGTCTATGATACAAGTTTTTCTATGTGTGAAACAGCTCTAAAAACAAAAGACATATCATGTCCCTGGATTACAAAAGGCCTCGAAAATAAAACAAAAGCTATATATTAAATATTTAAAATCAAAATCAGTCATGAAGCAGCCGTGGCGCAGTGGCAGCGCACTAGCCTCAGAAACGTAAGATCCGTGGTTCAAACCCCACCTCTGAGCAAGTTTTGCGACATCGGTTGGGAAGGAGGCGTGAACTTCCTATTAAATGCTCTTCTGCGGTGCTCTGTGATAAGACCGTAAGGACTTCTTGGGGTACCTAAATCAACTTCTTCTTGGGGTACCTAAATCAAAAAAAAAAAAAAAAAAAAGTAAAACATAAAAATAACTATATCTCCTATAAAACCTTATTTGAAAAACTTCGCAAAAATGCAAAAAAAAAATACTACTCCTGCTTGATCAATAAACATAAAAATAATTCGAAACAAATCTGGAAAATAATGAAAGAAATTACAGGAAAACTTAAAACAAATACAAATTCTCTGACACATTAATTAACGATTCAAACTCTATATTGCAGCTGAATTTAACAAATTTTTTACAACAATTGGAATTAAACTAGCAAATAGTATTCCGTATATCGACGATAAATAAACTGAATTCCAAACATCAACTTTGTCGTGTCTATGGGTAAGTAACATTACTTTGTAAACTAAACCCCACGAGCTCTTTACTTTATTAAACAAAATTATTGAAAAAAATAAGTTGATATTAAAAACTGAGTAATTGTTTTTTATTAGCAAGTATAAGATAACTTGGAGCAGCTAAAAAATATCTAACATTACTTTGTAAACTACACCTCATGAGCTCTTTACTTTATTAAACAAAATTATTGAAAAAATTAGTTGATATTAAAAACTGAGTAGTTGTTTTTTATTAGCAAGTATAAGATAACTTGGAGCAGCATTTGTGGGAACCCTAAAACTGCAGAATAGTACTTCTTTGTTTCACAAAGAATTCTTTAAATCATTTCTTTTAATATTTATAGTCAATATTTAAAAGATTTATGTAAATATAATACAAGAAGATCCAATTTCGATACAAAGCCATTAATTATTGACGCTTAAAAATGACATTTAAAACGATATTATTATCTGCTTCTCTGAAATGCAATTTGGAATCTTGGATACATTATTTGAGTTATATTTATTATTTTGTTTATCTTTCAATTAAAAATCTGCCTTTTCTCAACCTTTTATACTTTTTACTTACTTTTTTAATGATGCTTATTTTGTGTATCAAAGTACCCCACCCATGAGGGGACCTTGAAACAAATTTCTAATTTTACTTTTAATAGTTTCATAAGTTTATTCTGTTATATTTCGGTAATTTACAAATTTATTTTTGTAGGTATAAATTTTTTCTACAAGTTAAACTATTTTTTTTTAAAAAAAAGAATTATTTAAAAAATTGTTATGAAGCAAAAACCGAAAGAGTTTCATGGTGCCCCACTCTCCCATGCGTTTGTTATTTTATTATCTTCATATTACTTTTACAAGATTATAATAGTGGTTACAAAAAACTTTTCAAATGTAATATTTATTTAAATTTTTTATTTTTTCAAATATAAATTATTTATAACAAACGTTTTTATACTTTATGATATTAAACTTCACATATATTGCAATTGATTAAAAGCTTATACAATTACTTTACAACAACTCGAACACAATGGAACAAGAAAATGGTTTGACTTTTAACTAAAGCAAATTTCCTTTAAGTCAAACATTGGATCAAATGAGATTAGTTCAAGTTAAGACAATTTTTCTCTAAAGTATAACAATTAAATATACACATTATACAAATAAACACGTGAAAAACGTTTCAATGAATAAAAATTTATGTTTTGTATTGACGCTGTACACTTAAAAGATAGTTTGCTGAAAGAGGACTAAAAAATGATTCGACTAAACAAAGATCGAGTTATCGAAAGTTCGACTTAACCGGAGAATTTTGATAGTTATTAATTAAACGATTTCAAGGGACCCAATAAAACAGTTCGAGATAACAAAAGTTCGCGTGAACCAAAGTTCCACATATTTAGAAGAGTGTGTACCATGCCTGAGTTAAGAATTTTACGGCAGGCTACGACTACTCGAAACGTAACAGTCTTCATTTCAGTATAATAGAGCAGCAATTGTAATGACTTTAAATAAGTTAAATTATAACTTAAATAATAAAAAAAAGAAGTAACTTAAAAAAATAATTAATAAAACTATTTGATAATTATTTAATAAATTTTTATTTTATAGTTAGTATATAATTAATGAAAGAAAATTACTTTAATTTTATGTAGTCTGTAATTTTAATAAGTTATCTGCCATGCTGTAGTTTTGGCCATGTGATAAAATGCAATGAAATTATGTTTTTGATTTTTTCAACTTTTAGAAGAAATAGTTTTTCAAAATAAATAGTTAAACGATGGGGAAGAGAAAAAATAAAAAACATGAAGAAAAACGAAAAGATTTAGCTTGGAAAGATATCGTTAAAGAAAACATGCTAATGGAGAACTATTATAAGGTTAATTTCATTCATCTTTAATTTCTATTTACGTAATTTTTTTTTAAACAAAAATTTTAACTTTTAACTTTTTTCGATGTCAATTTTATTTTGTAAAATAACGTAATCACATGATGCATTTATTTTAAAATATTAGACATTTAAGTTGTTATTTAAATTTGTTATTTAAAATTAATTTAGGCACAATGCATTGTTGATGAAAATGAATGGGGTCACTTCATCGAAGTTTGTCGAAAGGATTTGCCTTCAACATTTCGTATAACTAAAATTCGAGGACACGCAATGGATTTATTGAAAAGTTTAAAAGATGGGTATATAAATAAAATAACTTCTAGTGATGTTAATGATGCAATTCCTTCTGAAAAAACAGAAGAAGAGCCAGAAAATGAACAAGATCTGCTTTTGGAGCCAATAGCATGGTACCCTGACGAATTAGCCTGGACTAGTAATTTGTCCAGACGATTTATAAGACGTTCTGATATTCTCCATAAATTGCACAACTTCTTAGTAGAAGATAGTGAATGTGGAGCAATTACTAGGCAGGAAGCTGTAAGCATGATTCCACCTATGCTTTTAGATATCAAACCGCATCATTTAGTTTTAGACATGTGTGCTGCACCCGGTTCAAAAACTGCCCAAATTATTGAGTTAATGCATGAAAATCAGCATGAAGCTTTGCCTACTGGAGCACTTATAGCTAATGATGCTGATCACAAACGGTGTTACATGCTTACTCACCAAGCTAAAAGATTAAACACACCATGTGTTATTATTACGAATCATGATGCATCAATTTTTCCAAAACTTATTTTAAAGAATGAGTCTGGTGAAAATGAGGCTCTGAGTTTTGACAGAGTTTTATGTGATGTTCCATGCAGTGGTGATGGTACGTTAAGAAAAAATCCACTTATTTGGAGTAAATGGACACCTCATATGGGAATAGCTTTGCATCAACTTCAAATACGAATTCTTATCAGAGGACTTGAGATGCTCAAAATTGGTGGTCGTTTAGTTTACTCAACATGTTCATTTAATCCAATTGAGAATGAGGCAGTTTTATCTCATGTATTATTACAATCAAAAAACGCAGTTCAATTAGTGGACTGTTCAAATGAGATCCCTGATCTCAAAAGAAAACCTGGTTTGCTAAACTGGAAAGTTTTCAATAAGCAGGGAATGGAGCTTAAGTTTTTTGAGGAGACAGGAAAACCATCTCTAATTAAACCAAGTATGTTTCCACCATCTATTGAAGAGGCAAAAAGTATTAACTTGCAGTTTTGCTTGAGAATTTATCCTCATTTACAAGACACTGGTGGGTTTTTTGTAGCTGTATTAGAAAAGAAAGCAGAGCTGCCGTGGTCCAAAGTCATGCATGCAACAAATGAAACTATTGGTATAAAAAATTTTGATGATGTTCAAAACCGCAAATCTTTAGATTCAGAGACCCCTGCTGATTCTGTGGTAGAGGAAATCAATAACCAGATTGTTGCTGATTTAGATGTCAACGCAAAAACTAGTGATGAAGTCTCAAGTGAACCTGTAAAAAAAAAGTTTAAGAGAGGATCAATAAAAGAAGATCCTTATATATTTTTAAGTGAGGATGATCCTGATATTAATGCAATTAGAGTTTTCTACAATCTTTCAGATGATCTTCCTTCAAAACAACTTCTTGTGAGAAGTCTAGGAACAGGAAAAAAGAGACATATATATCTAGTTTCAAAAGCTGTTCATAATATAATGACTCATAACAAAAATATTAGAATAATTAACACAGGAGTGCGAATTGTAACTCGCTCAGCATTAAAAGCTGGTACAAATGATCATGGGGTTGAGTATCGCTTAGTTCAAGAAGGAATCAATTTAATTATTAAGTATATATCTAGCAGAATTATAACAATTAGTTATAATGATATGTTGATGTTATTAAGCAATTTTGATTTACCATTTGAAAAACTTTCACAAGAAGCACAAACTGCGCTGACCAGTGTTGAAATGGGTTGTATAATATGGTTGTTTAAAGCTGAAGCAAAATGTACTATATCATCAGATTTATGGTTTTGTGGTCATCAAGGTAAAAAAGTTGTACAATGTATGTTAAGTAAAGAAGAGAGAAAGCATTTTTTACGATTACTCGCTGCACCTATACCTGAAGATTTTCATCTACAATTTAAAAGAATTGCTACACAAAATAAAGATGATCTGAATGAAGAATAAATATATTTAAATACTTTTTTTTGAAATCAATCCCCTTGAAATCTGTATTTAGTATTATAATTATGAACAATGAACAAAGTTGATTAATTATTTTTAGTCTAAACATATATATATATATATATATATATATATATATATATATATATATATATATATATATATATATATATATATATATATATATATATATATATATATATATATATATATATATATACAGATTTTGTATTTTTTTTATGAATAAAAAATTAGGGTATTAAATAATAACATTTAATAATAAGGGAATAATATAGGATTTTTGGTTTAAAATTGAAAATGTTGGTTTTGTTTGAAACACCTGCTGGCTATGCAATTTTTAAGGTAAAATTTGTTATTTACACTACATTGATTTGTGCTTTTTTTAAACAAAATTTAGCAATAGATACAAGATAGCATTCCAGTGTTACTTCACAATAGTGTAAAATTTTGAACTATTTTTCTTTAGTTGCTTGACGAGAAGAAGTTATCACAAGTAGATGATCTCTTTAAAGATTTTGAAACACCTGAACTAGCAAGTAAAATGTATGTTTGAAAATTAATTTATAATAATAATGGATGTTCAAGATTTCAAAATGATTGCAATTCTTATCTTTTTTTCAAAGTGTCAAATTGAAGCACTTTAAGAAATTTGAAGATACGACAGAAGCATTGTCAGGTAATTTTGCTTGAAATATAATTGAATTGTTATTTTATACAATAATGTAGTTTAAATAATTTAGTTTATTTTTGTGTAGATAAACTATTTATGTTTACATACTGCATTTAGTGTGATTTGTGTTTAATTACTACATTGATAAAAACTTCTTTTTTTACTTATTCTTAGTTAACAATTGGGACCTTTTTTTGCTCAAATTCTTTCTTATTCAAAACTGTAATATGAGATAAATATATCTCCAAATATAAAAATTTCATATTTATTATATTGATCTTTTATAGATTTATATGACATCTTTTATTAGAGATAGTTGCCAAATTCTTAGTTAGAAATTTTTAGTTAGAAAATATTTATAGAATTTACACTTAACAAATTTACAGACAGCTTTTTATTACTTACAACAATAATAATGTTAAATGGCAATAATTCAAGATGGCAAATTATATTGTCAATCTATTAAAGCGCACATTTAAAAACATAATTTGTTTAATATTTCCCAATTTATATTTTATAACTACAAAGTTAGTTTTTCTGGGTATACATTTATTATTTTGTTTTACTTAGTAAGTGACCAGGGCCTTGGCCCCAGTCTACCCGGCTAAAAATAAAACTTTTTTTAAACACAGCCTAAGATTTCGAAGAGTTTTTTTTTTTTTTTTAATAAGACTTTTTTCAACCCCTGCAAAGATTTAGCAGGGGTTGATAGTAGGGGCTAGAAAAAAATTTTAAAACACTTTATATCATAATTTTATGCTTACATTTACTATTTATTAAATACTGGCATATATACATATTTTTGATCTCTAATTTACTTCCAACAAGATTGCAAACAACTACTATTAAGTTATGAGTTACTTTAAAATAGAGAATAAGTAAAAAAAATTAGGAAATGGTTAACTGAAGACTTAAAAAGTTATAGGTTGTATATAAAAGTAAAACATGAAGATGACTAAGAGTTATACGGTTTTTTTGATGTGCAAGGTAAAAAACTGGATTGATAAAAGTTTTTATAGCATGAAAAGACAGATAGAGTAAAAGTATGCAACTTGTTGAATAAGAATCCAAACAAGAATGAGTTTTGGTTTATTGTAATAGAGATAATAACTCATTTGAGCATTGACATGAACCTTACAGCAATGGGAGAGTGGCTCAAGATAAGCAGTTAAAGCAGGTCTAGTTACATTTACAGTGTGCTTTTTAGACTTTGTCTGAGAGTAAGAGAGTTGTTATTCATCAATATAGGAATGCCAACAATATTGCAATTTTTTTTGCAGTAAATGAGTTTTGTTGTCAACAAATATTGTGGATTTTAAGCCCAGTATTTAAATCCACTGCAGAATTTAAAACCACTGCAAGCTGGGATCATAGTTGCCATAGTAACCTTAGGCTTTACAGAAGAGAGATCAGATTAAAAATCAGATGCTTGTTTTAAGCAATCAAAAGTGAAGACTTTTTGTCAAGAGAAGAGTATAGAGTTGAGTCATCAGTAAATAGAGCCACTTTAGATTTCATGAAGGTTGTTATTGTAGATAAAAAGCAATACAGGAGCAAATATAAAATGTTGTGGTACCCTAAAAGTTATTTGAAATAAAGAGTGAAGGCATTCAAAAATAACTTTAAAACTGCATTTAGAAAGATATAATTTAATAACCTCAAAACCTTTATATGAAGAAACTAATAACAGAGTAAAGACGAATATTAGGATAGTTGGAGGTCAAAGTGTTTTCTAGAATTTTGAAAAATTGGTTCAACTTATTTAGCACTTTTTTAAAATTTAGCAAAAAGTGATAAGAATTTTGGAGAACACTTTTTTAAGACAATGATGGAAATCTTGTCAGGAGCACAAACTGCAGAAGTGTTTAATTGAGAAATAACTTTAGCATTGGAGGCCAGAGTGATTTGGATGTTTAACAATGGGTTAATCTGTTTAACTGGCAGGAAGAGTATTTCATTATATTCATAAGTCAAATTAGAGTAAGATTTCTTTGCAATTAACTCTGCTTTATTCTGGGGAGAAGTAAAAAGATCAGACCCTTGAATTTAAGATTAAATGTTAGACTTACTTTAGTTAATGAAACTGTTGAAGACTAACCAAAAGTCTCTAGAACCTAACATCTGAGATAAGATACAAGATTTCATAAAATTAGAATAACAGAGCCTAACATCAGACAGGACTTTTTTATATTAACTTTTTGCAATAATAAAAGTAAATTAGTTCTTAAGAGAGATGTTCTTGTAAAAAATATGAAAATAATGATTGTTTAATAAAGCAACTGCTCAAGATGGTAAAAAATGTGGAGTAGAATGAGGCTTGATCTAATATTAAAGAAAAGTAATAAAAGCTTCTAAACTTTTATTCCAGAAGGAGTAAAAGATGCATTTTATGCATACATATTATGGATATATACATATATATTTGCTATTTATTTAGATGTTGGCATGCAATATTCTTTCATTGTTGTATAAACTTTAGTATTTATATGGATTAGTACTTGTCAAAAAAGAAGATGATCTGATGGATGTGGTGTAACTCAAGCAAGACAAAAAAAGAAGGCATAATCCTAGACAGATTTGAAATAACATTGTATCGAACAATGTTTGATAGAAAAGTTTAAAGTAATTATGGTATCAGCATGTAGAGAGGTAGCAGCAGCAGTAGAAAATAATAGTCGTAAAAGTAAGAAAACTTGAAGAAAGTGTCTTACATATTGTATGAATGAGCTTTAGTTTAGAAAAAAAAAGCTCTAGGTTGTTTATATTAGAACATAAAAGAGGGAGGCTAAATGATGATGATGATCATCATAATTACCATGATGATCATTATCATTATTATCAGGCTTTAGCATTACTATTTTTTGCTGTTGATGATGATGATAATAATGATGATCATCATCATCACCATTTTAATCATAATAATAATGATGGTTATAATAATTATGTTGATCATAATGTTTATATATGGATATACAACCCTCGAAATTAGGAAAAATGAGGTCGGCAATAATTTGCTGATCTCAATCTTTTTGAGGTTGGCATCAGGTGGGCAAAAATTATTTAATATAAAGGTCTGACCATAAAACATAGAAACGAGGTCAGCAATTTTTTGCCGACTTCAAACACCTTTAGGTCGGCAGTAAGGTCAGCATTGTCGAATGCCGACCTTAATTTCGAGGGTTGCATATATATACAAAATATAACTATGAATTTTTAATAAAAAAATATACTTTGAGATGGATATATGTTTATGCAACCCCGGTCACAAACCGGCCCCGGCTATATTTTATCAAACCCAGCCCCAATTAAATATCAACCCAGGTCACTTACTAATTGCATAACGGTTTTTTATGAAAGGCACATAATGACACAAATGGCTTATGAACCCATATGATTTTTGCTGGAATAGAACCTCGTCAGTTAAAATAACTACTTATTTGGGGCTTCATCTTCATTAACTGGTTCCAAAAAAGTTCCAGCATCAGTTAAATAAGAAGTTACTGATGCAATTAAACCAATACAATGCATAAATGCATTTCATTGGGTATAATTATAGATCATCTTATAATTAGAAATGCAATTATATAATTAGTAAATTGAATCATATCTGTTACCCACTCACTATCTGGATGAAAATCATACTGAAGAGATTATAAAATAAAATGAATCTTTGAAGAGTTTAATGCTTTAAAAACCAGAAAACATATATGCTAAGGATAATGCTAGTAGCATAAAAGCAGCATTTAAAAAATGGTTAGTCTAGGTCAGGTTAACAACAACAGTTTTTGCCATGTCTTATAACATTTGGCCAACAACATCTGTAAATATAATGAGGTATAATAACATCTGCCCAACAACCTCTGAAATTTCATTATGTCTAATGAAATCTGTGTATAAATTAAATGAAATTAAATATGTTGTTACATCTTTTAAATCATCGAAGTGTAATAACATGCAAATACATCTTTGGATTTCACAGATGTAGTTACATCTTTTAAATTATCAAAGTGTAATAACATCTGTAGATTTCAAGATAAAGTTACTTTTAGGAAAATTAACTAATAATGCATTATTTTAAACAGATGTTATTACATATAGAAATTTTTTTCAGATATAACTACATCTAAAAAAAATTTTTCCAGATGTTATCTTCTTGGTTGAAAATTACCAGATGTAGTTACATCTAAAGATGTTGTTAGGGGTTATTAAATTTTGAGATGATATTGGACAGATATTATTAGTGTAAAAAAAATACAAATAATCTTAGAGAAAAGTGTACAGATGATCTTGGAATGCTCCACAGATGTTGTTGGACAGATGTAGTAATCTTTTACCGTTAGGCTGTTTAAGTCAAACTTATTTGTCATGTTTGTTTGCTTCATTTTTTTACTTCTTTTATCAACAGTTCGTCTGTTAGTAAATGTTCTCATTAAATTTTCATCTGCAGAAATGACATCTTCAACTGTTGTACCTAGAGGGTAAAAAGTTTCAAGTTTTTTTATCTGATTTATATGGCTTGTCATCCAAACGGGCAGATTTCTGCTGATTTTCAAATAAATTTTGATTTTGCAAAACAATTAATGATGGTGAAGGTTTTCACTTTTTGCCATGCAAGATCAAACATTTTCATTGCATCTAAAATCTTGTAATGCTAAAGATCTGTAATAAACTTTCAAAGAGCATATAACACCCTGATCCAGGGGTTTAGAGTCGTAAAAAAAAAGTAACGACTCTGACTCCAGTTGTTAAGATTTTTTAAGTACAACTCCAACTCCAAAGCAAAATTTTTGAAAAATTCTTTGAATTCTTTCAAAAATATTACACGATAAGTTAATAATTTCTTTTTTAACAAATTTATGAAACGTTCTTTGAGGTTTAGTATGAACATAAGTTTAATTAAATGTTTTGTACATGCACATGCAATACCTAGAAGTTTTACTATTATCCGACTCCGCTAAAAATGTTGCGACTCCGCAACTCTGACTCCTACTCCACAGCCCTGCCTTGATCCAATGGTTGAAGTTTAGATATGACTCTGTGGTGATAAAAATGAGTTCAATAGGTTTTAAATTATCAATTGTAGGGTGTGCTGGGCAGTTATCTATTATAAATGGTACTTTCTTAAAACAAAAAAAATAAATAATAAAAACAGTATGTTTTTATTTTGATTTCTGTATTTGCTAGGTACGTGGTTAACTCCTTTTAAGCAATGAGGTGATTTTGATTTACCTTTTACAAACATGAATTTTATCACCTGCAGCATTTGCTGCGGCTATCTCAAGATGATTTTTACTCTGCTTTCTCCCTATACAAGCCTCAGATCGAAGATTTAGTGGCTTATTAGGTTGCATAGGAAAAAATAGTCCACCTGTGTTATAAGTTTCATCAAGTTTATACCTGGATAAAGTTGTTCCCTTCCATGATGTGTTCATATCAGTTGTACTAGAGTTACCCTCTCCTCATAATGTCTTGTAATAAATATATCTGTTTTTCCAACAATCAAGCTAACCATCAGACTCTAGAAATTCTTTGATATTAATCTTTTAGAATTGATGCTGATACTGATAATTTACTCTTTACATTTAAAAGCCATTTAAAAACAAGATTATCTAAATTTGAAAATGTTTCATTTTTAACTCTCATATGTTTTGACTTGTTCCCTTGCTTCTTCATAGATTCTTCTTTTTTTTAATAAGTTTTCTTTGATTGATTTTGTGTTAGTTTTTCTCTTTACAGCGACAGTAGCCATCGTACACAACTTTTAATATAATATTCTAATGCACATTAGCATAACTTGTACTGTAAACTATATTATTTAAAATAGTTTACAGTATAAGTTATGCTAACGTGCATTAGAATTAAAAATGGTGTATTTTGTTTACATTTTACTATGGCTACTGTTGCTGTAAAGAGAAAAACTAACACAAAATCAATCAAAGAAAACTTATTAAAAAAAAGAAGAATCTATGAAGAAGCAAGGGATTAAGTCAAAACATATGAGAGTTAAAAATGAAACATTTTCAAATTTAGATAATCTTGTTTTTAAATGGCTTTTAAATGTAAAGAGTAAATTATCAGTATCAGCATCAATTCTAAAAGTTTAATATCAAAGAATTTCCAGAGTCTGATGGTTAGCTTGATTTTTTTTTTTTGAATCTATTAAAACTTTTGATGGGAAACTTGGCTGTGCTTGAGGGCAAAAAGTTTAATATAAAAAAATAATAACTTTTACTAAAGTTTTGTTTTTCTTCTAAAGTTTGATTTATCAGAAGAATATTAACCACAGGAACAAATAAAATGTTTTGACCTAGCGAATGTTTTAGCTAGTGGAGGTTTAAATTATTGAGTAAATTTTGATGAGAAAGTGTTAGTGAGGGTTTAAGGAGAACTTGAAAGTACTTTGAGTTACTGGAAGATCAAGTTATCTGCGGTTTGAGATATTGGGAGTTCACTGTGTTAGTAATATTTAAGTTGTGTTTTGTTAATTTTTTGTTTTTTTGGGTACATACCTAAATTTAAAAAATTAAATCTGGAAACTCATTCTTATTTTTCGATTGTGCTAAATTGTGTTATATTTCATTTTAATTTCCGATTTCACTCTGTCCTAAATACTTTTAATTAAGCTCTTAAAAATTGTCTCTAAAATAGTCCCTATGTCATAAAGTTTTACTCTACTTTAAGAGTGAAGATCTGAAAATGTCAAAAATGTTGTTGAACAGATATTTATCTTTTATTGAGCTTTTATATATCTATGCTATAATAAAAACATTTAATATCTTAACATAGCATACTATTTTTAAAAAAGATCTTTTTATACACTTGTATTTTGTTATAGATATAGACAATATAATTAGAGTTTTTCATTTAGCTGTCACCGCATCAATTGAAGGCAAGATGTCTAAATCATTAAAAAAGATAATGAAAAAAGTAGCATCTAAAGAAATGCACGAAGAGCTTGCTGTCGCTGATGCAAAAATAGGAAATTTAATTAAGGTTGAAAAATATATTTTTTATTTATAATAATACATAATATTATAAATAATAATAGTTTATACTAATTATATGCACACAAACACACATATATACACACACACATATGCAGAAATGTAGTCGAGACAGTAAAGATCGAGACCAAGACAAACCCCAAGATTTTATGACTCAAGACCAAGACATCAAAAACTCAACCCAAGACTTTTAAATTTTTCAAAAGACCAAGAGCAAGGATTTAGATTCTTAGAAGTTTAACACAACAAGATACATGCTCACTCGCGTATGTATACTATTAGACTATTAGCTGATGTATCATTTCAACATAAATACACATTACTCTATAATAAAATGTAATTATGCATGTATAATATAATTATGTTATGGCAAATTGTGCAGTACACTGTTGTAGTCAACAAAAGATATCTCTAATAATAACAGAAAACTAACAGGTTTTTTCTATTGCAAAATGTGCTAATAAAAATTGACACAAGATAATCTATGAAATTAATAATAGCATGCATAAAAAAGACATGCTATTTTTTTTTTTTTTTACTATAATACCCACACAGGATACTAAAAAAAATCTATTTAAGTACTTTGTATAAGACATATAACTAATATCAATGTATCACTTAATTTCATAACTTAAATAACATGTTAATCCTGATGGTATCAATTTATTATTAATTACCAACACCAGAACTCCAAGCAAGAGTTAAATCTTGAGACCTAGAGTTAAGTTTTAAGACCTTAACATCAATATACATCTCTGCATATATGTGTATACTTATTTTTATTGTGATTAGTTTTAAATGTTTTAAATAATATTATTTTTATTAGTACTTAGTTTTTATGTGATAATTTTTAACGTAAAAAAATAATTTGCTTTCCAAGCTGGAAATTAAATAAAATTGATTTCGCTAAAAAGAAAATAAATTTTGGTTCTAGCTACATTGACTAGTCTACCATCATCTAAAGATTCAGCATTTAACCTTTTTTTTTATTTTTTTATTTTATTTTTTTACTATATTAGGATAAATTTGACATAAACTGTGTTTGTTCTACTGCTGTTAATGAACTAATGAGAGGGATTAGGACTCAAATGAATGGCCTAATCACAGGTACACTTATGTCTTTTTTTTTAAAGAATTTTTCCAATTTTTCCAATTTTTCCATTTTTTAAAGAATATTTCTTCTTGTTAGTTTTGATAATTTTTAAAATAATTTTTTAAATAAATAGACTTTAACAATAAACAACTTTAAAGTATTATATTATTGATTAGGCATAACTGACAAAGAATTTACTGCTATGTCACTTGGTTTGGCGCACAGTTTATCTCGCTATAAGTTAAAGTTTAGTCCTGATAAAGTTGATACCATGATTGTCCAAGCTATATCCTTACTTGATGATTTGGATAAAGAACTTAATAACTATATTATGAGATGTAGAGAATGGTACGGATGGCATTTTCCAGAGCTTGGAAAAATTGTCACAGATAATTTAGCTTACGCCAAAACAGTTAAAGCTATTGGTAAACTGCACTTTTTGTTTTTAGTTTGAGACTTATTTTGTCAGTAAATATATTATTTATATAATTTCATTTTTTTAATATTTAAAAACCTTTTAATTTAGCTATTTATTACCATTTTTTTGGATTATTATATTATGGCATAACTTGAACAATTATAGGAGGGGGGCTAAATTAACACATTGCTTAAGGGTACATTTTGCAGTAGCTTTGCAAGGAGAAATAAAAAAGTAGTTTTACATTTATATTGATTTTTTTTAACACTAAAATGTTGTCGTAATACAGAAAAACAAACCATGTTGTCAAACTAACCCAGCAAGCGGTCTAGTAACAGCCTTCATAAAGCATACTAGTATGTGTCCTGCATACAATGTGTTAATAACTATTGTCATTAATTTGCTATGGAAATTTTTCTTTTATTTACATAAAAGAATTTATTTAAAGATCTCAGCTAAAGCAATAAAAACAAATTATTAGGTCAATGATTAGGTACAATGTTCTCTGAGCGGTAAGGTAATTGTCATCAAAGGTTCAAGTCCTCTGCTAGGATAATAAAATACTTTTTTTGTTTTTTAATCTTAGTGATTTAAAAAAACAAACATAAAGCAAGCCTTCTCAGGAAACATGTGCTTTATTGTGCCTATTAAGGTTGCACGTCTTAAATGACCACGCATACATTTTTTTTTAACAACTTGGCCACGGTTTTTGCATATAATGTTAATTAGCATGTTTTAAATTTTGTGTTGAAAAAACTAAACTAATTTAAAATGAAAATTAAAAATAAACAAACCATAAACTGAAAAGAGAAACAAACTTAACAAGTAATAAAATAAATAAAAGATAAACAAAAGAAAATAAAAACATAAAATAAATATATTTTTTTAATTTAGAAGCATTTCAATAGTTCAAACTTAATTAGTTTAAAAACGTTTCAATTAATAGTTTAAAGATCTTATTTCCCATATGGCCATGTTGATTAATTGTGTCATTTATAAGGCACAACTGTTATATAAGCAGTAGGAGAGAATTCAAGTCAACTGGTATCTTTTTTAATTAATGTTTTATTTACTAAGCTGACATAAGAAAATAATTTTTAAAGTAATTAAGCTTGGATTAAATAACTTTAAAACTTCGATTTTGTCTAAACTCTTTTTAATGAAACAGTTTTAAATTAAGATAAAAGCATATATTAATTTTATTCTTTTATTTTTTCTGATTTTTTTATTCATTTTATCATTCGTTATGATTTTCATTTTTTTTAGTTTAGTTTTCTATTTTTTTTAATTTTTTAGTTTTTATTTCTGTTTTCAGTTTATAGTTAATTTCTTTTAATTTTAGTTAACGTTTGTTAATTCAGCTCTTTTCTTCAATGTACATAGATGCGTTTTTTACGGGAATTCCCGGAATTCCGGAAATTCACTTTTAATTTTCCAGAAATTTATGGATGTTTTTTGTTATTAATTTGAAAAAAAAAAATTATATATTTTTACATAAAATTTTAAATACAACAGCTTTTGCATTTAAACAAATGTTTTCTATAATTAAAATTTCTACGAGATCAATTTTCGTAACAATTTTTTTTTTTTTTTTGCTTTTTAATTCATTCAAATTAACTTTTTCGAATATTAAAAATTCCTTTTTGTAAAAAGTTAAATATTCTAAATTCCGTTTTAAAAGTTTAAGAAAGTTTTTGTTGTCTTTTACAGGGTAATTCATTCTTATATGCGCGTCTATTCTATTTTATATGCGTATTTATTCATTCTTATATGCGTTTTAAAAAAGCAATAAGAACAAAAAAAAAAATCATTTAAGCATTTTGTTTTAAAAAAAACAATTTACTTTTTTCAAAACAAATTTTTCTTATTTCCTGGTTAACGAGGTTAAAAATACTTAAAACTGAGACTTTTTACATTCTGTGATGGTTTATATAATTTAGTATTTAATTTATTTTAATTTTATTACATTATTAAATTAATAAATGAATAAATGCGCATATAAGAATGAATAAACACGCATATAAAATCAAAAGATGCACATATAAAAATGAATAACCCTATAAAACGATCAATTTTTAATTAAATAATTTTCCGGGATTTTCATAGAAATTTTTTTTTGGGATTTTCAAAAAGTCAAATACTCTTCTATGAATGTAAAACATGCAAGAAACCTTGGCCAAGTTGTCAAAAAAATATATATGCGTGGTCATATAAGGCGTTTACGGCACGTGTTATAACAAAACAGTTTAAGCAAAAAAACAGAAACCTAATTTTAAAATTTTTTTTATGTTTAATATGCTCCATACTTAAATATACGATCCACAAACTCAACTTACCTACTGTCAGTAGTACTGACGTTTACACTTATAGATGTTTGTACATAGCATTATATAAATGGACTTTTTACATTTGAATATTACATATTGCTTTTTGCATTTGCATATTACATATCTATTAATAATGAAATTATATTTAATAATTTTCTTTAATATATTTATACATTAGTTTTTTTTAATAAAATATTGGGGTTTTTAAATATTTACTGTCTGCCAGATCAGAGAAAACTTCGAAAAGTCAGGGAATTCAGATATCTGCAAAAAATCAGGGAATAATCAGGGAAATAAGGTTAAATTTAGTAAAAATCATGGTGAAATTAGGCAAAATGGTTCTTTATCAAACTTAAGTATTTTAAGTAAGTTGTATATAGTACGCGTAATATAATATCTTAATCGGTAGATAGTTTTATGAACTTCTTTTGATATTTTTGAATTTTGATTTTAATTTCTATATTTTTGAAATTAAAGAGGATTTTTTTATGAGTCTGTGTCTAATTTTTCTAAAGTTAAGTTTTGGTCACTTGAATTAATTCAAGAAAAACAGTTAGTGGGTCAGGGAAAAATCTGGGTAATCCACTTTAAAATATTAGCAGAAACATAGTATAAACATAAAAATCTTCAGTAGCCTAGTGGTTTAGTGTACCACTGGTACTTGTTGTACTCTGTATAAACATTGACAATATCATGGGTTCAAATCCACAGTCAAGCTTAAAATCTTTTTTCTTTTTAGTTTTTTCAATCTTGCTGTTTTTTAAGTATGAAATAAAATAGTTAAAATAAATAATTTTTAAAAAGCAAAGAGAAATGATTTTTTAAAAATTTGTAGAGGTTATATTATACATGATTGTTCCATACAGGGCCCGCTAACTCAACTTAACATAGTAACATTTACACTTACAAATTGTGCGAGGTGCAATACATATGGAGTTTTTACATTGAATGTACATTAATATCAATTTACATAAGTTAACTTTACATAATATTTACATAAAAAGCTGAAAGAATTTTTCTCACCATTAACTCGCCTTGAATGGCTGCCAAGAGTTCATTGTCAAATAAGCATGAGTGGGTACTACTACTATTAAGTTCAGCATTATTTATTATAAAGAGATATTGATTTTACTAACAGTGTCTGAGCAAAAAATTGCCGATCTCAGACACCGTTAGGTTGGCATTATATGCATACATATATATATATATATATATATATATATATATATATATATATATATATATGAGCGATTCCGCGAGATTGACGGTCATAACATTTGACACTCTTTAAGTTACCAAAAATGAAAATGATTTGAAACTTTCCAAAAATGTGAAATACTATCATATAATTTAGTACAGCATTAAAGTCTTAAACTTTTTTCAAATTAGCTTTAAGTAGCGTGATGGTCGTAACGCTTACTTTTTACCACTTCTGAACAAAACAACTTTTCCAGACTTAATGCAGTGAACGGCATGGTAAAAAAAAATCCTTTGGTGTGCGTATTTAGCGCATATTGATGTTTTTATATACTTGAAGTTTTACAAGCTTTTTTTTTTTTTTTTTTTTTTTTTTTTTTTTTTTTGTCTTGATGGTCTTAACGAAAAATCCAGTGCCTAAAAGCAACAAATATAATGACACAATGATGTAAGAAAAAAAGTATAAATAATTATTAACAACCATAATAATATGTTAAAAAAATGCAATAAAACATTATCTAAGTTTTCAAATATGGATATATGGTACGATTTTTAACACTACACAACAGAACTGTAAATAAGCTCCAAAGTATTTTAAAATAGTTATGGAGTTTATTATGTGTTTTCGTGACTTTTTTTTTTTTTTTTTTTTTTTTTCCTCCTCTTTCTCGCGGAATTGCCCATATATAGAAAGTTTTTTTTTTAACTTTTAAGGTTTTTTGAAACTTGATTGTAAACTGCGCTTTTTGTGGAAAAAAATATCATTATTTTAATACCATATTTGTATAAAATTGTTAGGATTTAAAGTAAAGACTGCGAGTACAGATCTTTCAAGTATTCTTCCTGAGGATGTAGAAGATGAAGTAAAAGCTGCTGCTGAAATATCCATGGGTACTGATATATCTGATGAAGATATTGAGAATATAACATTTTTGTGTGATCAAATCATACAGATTGCTGAGTATCGAATGTCATTATATGATTATTTAAAAAATCGTATGCAAGCAATTGCTCCTAATCTTACTATAATGGTAGGTGAGCTGGTTGGTGCAAGACTTATAGCTCATGCTGGTTAGTTACACATTGTTGATAGTCTTTTTTTTTTATAAATTTTTTAGTTGTTTTGTTTTTGTAATGTTTCTTTATGTATAGAATGTTTGATTAAAAATAGCCATAGACAACTTTTTCAAACTGGGGTGGGGGGTGGGGGTAGGAGGGGCACAAGCAATATGTCTCTTAAAAATAAAACTTTTTTACCTTCTTTTGTAATACCTACATCTTTGCATAGCATGTTTTTAAAAGTTTCATATATTTACCTATAAGCATTAAATATCCTGTATTCGTAGTATTAGTCAAGTTATAACCCTTTTCAAATTAAAAAAAGTAAAAAACATTAAACATACAGAGGCTCAAATATTTATAAAAAAGATCAAATCCTCTACCGCCCCATGCATGGGTACGTTGTACATGAGATGCACATTGCTTAAGTATTATAAATATGATAACATAAATTAAATAGTGTTTAGAACATTTTTATATAAGATACTTAAACAGATTTGTAGCATTAATTTCTGTTTTTCATGTAGCTTCTCATAATTTCACATTTTTTGCCAGTTTATTATTTAAAAATGTTTTTATGATATGAAGTAAAATATGGTCTTCAACTATAATGTTTTCAAATGCCTGTTGTGTGAAAAGTTAAAGAAAATAAGGAATAGCAAATGAGGTTTAATTTTGAAAAAAAAGTCTTATATAGTATGAGGCCTTTATAAAACATTATAGGGATTGTCCATAAATTATTTAATGCGAAATTTAACTAATAAACTAAAAGTGTTAAAAGTTTACCCTCGCAGAGTCTTTAATTAAACCACGTATAAGTAACCCTTCAAGTCCAGCAAAAGCCGCTGCTCAAAAAAGCAAAATGTTCTACTTATATTTTTAAAATAAGCTTTGCGTTGCGTAATTTATGGACGATCCCATAGCATACTCAAGATTTCCGAAATAATGCTAAAACACAAGAAGAATTATTTGCAGTAGTGACAATCAGCAAGAGATGCACTAGTAAAACTGCAAAACCGTTTGAAGTTTAAGATGTTTAAGGCGCTTCTTTTCCGAACCAGACAATTTCTGTTTTTAAGACATCAAGACAAGACTTGTTTGAAACTAATATTTGAAACTAAGAAATGCATTACAAGCCTTTCCAGGAAAGGTGTGGGGTTTTTTCGTCTTGTATGACTATGCATTAGTATTTTATTTTAGGCAACTTGATCCACAGCCGTTTGCAAGTTTTATAATATTAATCATGGCAAAAAAGTTCTAAAAACAAAAAAAGCAAAACTAATAAAATAGGAAATAAAAATAAATTTAAATAGAAAAAAATAAAAATAAATAAATAATTTAAATAATTTATGTTCTGTTTTTATTTTTGTTTCCTTAGAGTGGTTGTTATATTCTTTAGCAAAATTAGATGAGGCGAAGTAAAAAAAAAAAGTTCCAAGTCTACAATAAAAAAAACGATTTTCCTTTATTTAACTTTTTTTAAAAAAGAAAGCGAAAATATTAATTAAAATATATTTGTAAAATATATTTATATAATTGCAAGAGTTAAATTAAGCGAAATGCAAAATCTGGAAAAATATCTGGTCTTCAAAATTTTAATTTATACAAAAACATGTTCTTTGTTTTCAAGGGGCGAATCATTTTTAATTTGTTAGCAAAAAAGTTATAAAAAATAAAACAATAAACTTACAAATACAAAAATAATAAACTCTAGTGACTAACTGCATTCTAAAAGTAATGGCGCTGTTTCAGTTTCCTACCCCTATCATTTCATGATTGATTATGATAGAGAATTTCATGCTCTTAAGATTTGTATAAAAACATTGACCTAAAAATTCAAGGAAAGTACTCTAATTTGATGCTGAAGTTAAAAAAATTACACTAAGAACGCTAATATTGCTATCTTTTTGAAAATGTCTTTTAATCGGTTTTTATTTAGAAATCAATTGTTTAGAAATTTTTTTTTTTAGTTCATGCTACCCGGTTTTTGTTGTCATCATTATTGAAATTTATTTATATTTAGTTAAATATTATCATGAATATATATGTATTTTTTTTAAAATAAAAAATCTTTGAAACAGCTTTTTAGATGTAAATACATCTACTGACAAGTAGGGATTGGAGCAATTAAATGTACATACATTGACTGACAAATAGGGATTGGCGCAATTAAATGTACATGGTTAGGGTCAGGGTTAGGGTTTGGGTCAGAATAAGTCAGAAACTCCTGGAAATTTGCTTTAAATAATTTTTCTTAAAAGTGTTAATAAAAACTGGGCTGTTTTTAAGTTAATGAAGAAAAAGAATTTAATCACATTTCGTGTATGAAAAAAATGGCGATTATTAGCGTTTTTAGTGTAATTTTTTAAACTTCAACATCAAATTAGAGTGCTTTCTATAAATTTTCAGGTCAATGTTTTTATATGATTCTAGGGTCAAGGTTACTAGGTTATCCCTTTTCCAAATCAATGTCATATGACCTAAGATGTAAAATGATAGGGGTAGGCAACTGAAACAGTGCCAAAGTAATAACACTATAATAGTATTATTACTTTTATAACGCACTTATAACTTTTTTAATTCATTCTTTGTTCATATAATATAAGTTCTCTCAAATTTTAATTGAAGTAGAAAAGCATCTAGAAAAATTTAGTGGATATCCAAATAATATTTAAAACTTAGATTAACTTATAAAAATGTAAATAAACTTTATCAAAACGTAATGTATAAAAAGGTTTAGCATTATTAAAAAAGTTACTAATGATACGTAGAAACACACGTTAATTTTCAAATCAACCAATTTTTATTGGTTGATTTTAAAATCAATGTGCGTTTTTTACGGAGTATTATTACATTTTTAATTACGTTAAACTTTTAATAAAGTACATTTTTATAAAGTTATTTTAGTGATTTGTAAAAACTCCTGAAGTTTTTAATAATATTTGAGTATCCGCTTCATTTTTTCTAGATGCTTTTCTACTTGATTTAATGTTTAGAATTGCTAATGTTTTTTGAACAAAGAATGAACTTTAAAAGTAATAAGTGCTTTATAAAAGTAATAACACTATTATAGTTTTATTAATTTTTTAATTCAGTTAGTGGCGAGAGTATTATTACTTTTGTAGTCGTAAGTTTGTTTGTTTTCTTTTTATATTTTTCTTGCTAACAAAATTATAATAATTTGTTTCTTGAAAACAGTACACAGCTTTGCATTAGCTAAAATTTTAAAGATCAGATATTTTTCCAGGGTTTGCAAATTACGATTGCTTGACTCACCCCTTGATATATACTTGTTACATTAAAGTTATACAAATATATTTTACAAACAGATGACAATTTATATTTTCGTTTTCCCTTTGAAAAAAAACAAAATATAGGAAAATCATTATTTTTAATGTTTGCAACTTTTTTTTTTTTTTTTTGCTTTGACTTACCAAATTTTGTTGCCAAAAATAATAACCACTATGAAGAAACAAAAATAAAAACCATACACAAATTGTTTAAATTATTGTTATTATTTTCTATTTAAGTTTATTTTAAATTCCTATTTTGTTATTTTGTTTTAAAACTTTTGTCAGCAACGCATATTAAAAAACTTGCAATCGGCCGTTATCAAGTTGTCTAAAATAAAATACTCACGCGTGGTCATACAAGACAAAAAACCGCATGCCTTTCCTGGGAAGGCTTGCATTATTAACATTCAAATTGCTTCAAATAATGTAAATACAAATGTTTTTAGAACAAGCCTGTCATTGCTTTCTTATGTAAATGGATGTATAAGTTATCTAATAATATATTATATATATTATTGTAGAAATAGAACCAGAAGGTCTTATACCAGATTTCCACAATGGAACCAACATTAAATGTATCAAAAAAGGAGAGATTATCAATTACCAAAAAGTAAAATCTAGACTGATAAACCTTGATGTGACCAAATCAAAAGGATTTACAGGAGTACATTTTAGTCCTAAAAAAATGTACAGACGCTTTTGCAGTACCCCTAACACTTAACTTCAATTCCTCATATGCAACTCCAGAAGTTCCAGGTATGTGGAAGAAACCGGAAGTTATGCCAATAATCAAAAAAGGTAAGTCAAATTTTAGTAACTATAGACCAGTCTCAAAGACATTAGTTTCGTGTAAAATACTTGAGGGAATAATTGATGAATAAGTATCTGATCACTTGCTAACCAATGGTTTAATTACTTAAAGCTTTAAAAGTTCAGCATGGTTTTGTGAAAAGAAAAGGATGGAAAAACTGGAAATTATATGTGCTAAAAAATGCATTCTGAAGATGTGGTGTATTCCTCTAGCAAATATTATACATTTCATACCTTGGACCTCATCTAGAGTTTGTTATACACAACTTAGAGGCAATATCAACAAATTAGAGCACATTCATTATCGTGCAACAAAACAAACTCCTTTAGACATCATACTTATAAACTGACAACACTACCAAAAGAAAAAGAAAATGGGGATCTCATAGAACAATTCAAAATTAATAAAAACCTTAAATAAGTTGATTTCTATGTACCGCAATGTTATCCCTTTTCCAAATCTATGTCATATGACCTTAGATGTAACCATAAGTTTATGCTTCAACCGCATCAAGTCAAAAACTGTATAACACTATCGACTCAAAATCTGTCAATATTTTCAAGTCACAATTGCAGCATCAGAACACTCGCAAATAATAGAACTATATGTATCAACTTGTCATTATAGGGTAATTCCACATCAAATCACCCACTCCATTGAACCATGTGTCTTCTTTTTGTTTTAAATTTTGACACATGATTCCTATTTATAAAAAAATATTGCATGCAAAATTTCAGCTAAAAATGTCAAGCGGTTGACAAGATACAGCAAATTTAATTTGGACCTGGTTTCTCAAAATGACCCGGTTTTCATAACATTCTGAAAAGTTGTTTTCCTCAATAAAATAAGAAATAAAAATGGCAAAAATATAAAAATATACATTTATAATGGTTTTTTAATGCTGAATT